CACACTAATAATCCCAATACTCGGAGGCAGAGCCAGGCCCATCTCTGTGAGTTTGAGGGCAGCCTGGTCTACAGAGCAAGTTCCTGGACAGCCAGGGATGTTATACAGAGAAATCCTATCTTGGAAAAAAAATAGGCAACTAAATAAACAAAAAATTGCCAACCAAGAATCTAATGCCTTTTAAACCTAAGAGAGAAATTAAGAAATTCCTAGCTAAAAGAACTTGCTATTCCTGTCTTGTAACAAATGCTCAAGGGAACTCTTCAGAGTCCATTAAAGAAACTTAGACAGTAACTCAAAACCATACATAGAACTAAAGATTTAACAGAGGGAGCTATGTGGACAGCGATAAAAGTTGGTATTATTACAGCTGCTATGGAATATCACTTTAATGTGGTACATTTGTTCATGTTGTGAAATATTACCTTGAAGATATGAAGGTGTGTTACTTTTGTTTCTGCTGCATTTGTTTCACCCAACTGGTCTAATAAAGAGCTGAATGGTCAATAGCTAGGCAGGAGGGAGAGGGGGAGAGAGGGAGAGAGAGGGAAAGAGAAGAGAAGAAGAGAGGAGAGAATGAGGGAGGAAGAAAGGAAGACGTTCGGGGTCAGCCAGGCCAGACAGTCATCAGCCAGCAGACACAGAATAGGTCATACAGAAACAAAGATAAAAAGCCCTGAGGCAAGACGTAGATAAAGAGAAGCAGGTGAACTTATAAGAGCTATCGAGAAGCAAGCAAACAACGAGGCCAAGCATTCATAACTAATATTAAGTATCCATATCATGATTTGGGGAGCTGGTTGGTGACCTAAAAGAAAGCCTGCAACATACAATTTTAACTTGTAATATTTTTTACAACAATTTAGGAGAGTGATTAGTTTCTGTTTATGGGTATAAAGTTTATGAAACAGTTGTGTGACAAGAGCAATCCATAGGTGCCTGGTGGTGTGCCTTTAATCCCAGCACCAAGAGGCAGAAGCTGTAGTTCTCGGTGAATTTAAAGCCAGCCTGTATTGCCTAGGAAGTACATACTGTGGGCTTGTCTCAACAAAGAAACAAGGAAAAGAGGGGGTGCACAGGGCTGGCAAGATGAATTAGTGGGTAAAGGAACTTGCAGCCAAGCCCGATGACCTGAGTCCAGTTTCTGGGATACATGTACATAAAATAAATAAATGTTAAAAAAATCAAAATGCCTGGAAACAGCTGCTAAAAGAGCAAGAGTCTTTGATCATTACAGAAGATAAGATGCTATAAACTCAAATTAGAGTCTTATGATTTTACATTTTGAATGTAATTCTTATGGTAATCACAAAACTCATTTAGCTATAAAATATATATAAAAGGAAATAAGAAATGAACTTAAATATTGCACCATAAAAATCAACAAAGGAGAAATGAAGAAAGCAATACAGGATACAAAAAAAAAAAAAAAAAAAAGAAACAAAACCCCAAAGACCAATAGCAAATAGCAAAATGAAGACCATTCCCCATCTGTGATTAGTTTACATGGGTAGATTAAATGCACCAATCAAGATCTAGATATCGGCAGAACAGACAACGTATGATCCAACCAAATGATGCCTATAAGGGACTCATCTTAAATCTAAATAAACAAATAACTTGAAAATCAAAGGACAGAAAATTATAATATAAAAGATTATTAAAAAGCAGCAAGAATAGTCATACTACTGTCAGATAAAATTGACTTTAAATAAAAAAATTTAAAGAGGCAAGGAAGGATATTCTACATTAATAAAAGATTCAACGAAGGAAAGAGATATGATAACCATTAGCCTAACACCACATCCTTCAAAACATAAGAAACAATGTAAAGAATTAAAAGGAATATTAAACAGTTTTAGAACAATAGTTGGAGATTTAAACTCCGAACTCTCATTGATATCCAGATCAAACAGACGGAGATAAGTAAGACACTGGGGACCGACACAACACAACAACCAACTCCATCTAGATACATATCTTACAGTATATGTTTTCTCCAGTGCACACAGAGCATCTCTCATGGCGGACCACATATCTGTAAGTGAAAAAAGATAATAGAAATCAAGTGTCCTCTCCCACCACAACAAGATGAAGTTAGAAATTGAAATAAAATATGAAAAACTCACTTTATGGAAATTAAATAATCTATTAAATATATTAAATAACCACTGATTTAGAGAGAAATCACAAGACAAATTGCAAACAAGAAATGGATGAAGCTGAAAACACAACATACCAAGACCTATAAAATGCAGCAAAGTCAGAGTAATGCAAAATTTATAGCTATAAAGGTTTATGGTTTTTTAAAAAAATGAGAAAGAAGCCAAGTGTGCAGCCTCACAGCTGTAATCCCAGCAGTATAGAGGCAGAGGCAGAAGAACCATTTCAGGTTAGAGGTCAATTTGGTCCACATTGAAAGTTCTAGTCAGGTTTACATAGCAAGATCTTGTCTTAGAAATCCCTAAACCAAAAAGAAATTAAATCAACAACCTAACTTGGCAACTTACAGCATGCAAAAGAGAAGAATCAGTCTAAAGGCAACAGAAATTATAACTGATAGTGGTCCTAGCAGATATAAATGGATTTGGGATTAGAAAAAATGAAAGAAAATCCAGTAAAACCATAAATGACTTCATTAGAAAGGGCAAGAAATTGACAGACTGTCGAGAAAAATTGAGAATAAGTGAATTCAGGAATGTAGCAGCATACAAACTGAACATACATCAACTCCATTTTTACACAAAAGCAATAAACAATTTAAACTGGGATTTATGAAGTCAGTTCTATTTATAACATCATAATAATAATTAACCACTCTCCAATTAGCCAAAGACACCTAAGACTTGTAAAACAAATACAGAAATCAGGGGTAGGTATTTAACTTTTTAAACATTAATTATTTACATTATTTAACTTAATTTAACACTCTCTAGCATGCCTCCGTGGAAAGCTGCGGGATTGGAGTGGGTCTGGCTTTAGAGAGAGGCTATGTGTTATGCATGCAGCAGAGTTGGAAGGACGGGACAAGCTAAGTAAGCATTTTGGATGTCAGCAAATTTCATCTTGAGTCTCAGATGCCAGACATGGAGCTTTAGGACTTGGCGTTTGCCCTGTTGGGTTTTGGCAGTTTGGCCCAACCACTCATCACTATGCCTCAGTTCTTCCATTTTGGAATGATGATGTTCGTTCTGTGCTGCTATATGTTGGAATTATGCAACTTCTTTTTAATTTTACAGGATATCACAGCTTAAGATGTGAGGTGGGCTTGGGACTTTTTAAACTGCTGTAATTGTTAGACTATGGAGACTTTTGTAATTGGGTTGCATATTGATTTATGAGAGGAGCATGGACCTTTGGTGATAAGGAGTAAAAGGTTATGATTTTAAATGATGTTGTATTTGGGTATCAAGCTGACAAAAGGTGGCGTTGTGATTGACTCAGCTCAATTTTCGGTTATGAAACCTAGAATACCTGGGAGATGGCCCTTGGGGTAGAGCTCAGGGGTAGAGCACTTCGCAGAGTGTGCAAAGACCTAGGCTTCATTCTCAGTACTGGGCAAGGAATCGAGGTGTGTGGTGCAGTTATTCTCTTGCAATGTGATGGATGCATTTAATACCATTGAGCTATACATTAAAGTTGATAAGATGGTAAATGTATGTAAACTTTGGGAAAAATGAAAAAAATTAGTTAAAAAACACAAATCATATTGTTGCCAAAACAAAGCCAAAGAAACAAACCCCTAAAAACCTGGGTTCATAAGGCTGTGTAGACAGCTTTAAAATGTCAACTTAGGTTTTTGTTTGTGTTGTGTGTGCAGCATCTGTATATGGCATTTTGTGTATGATGTATGTGCATACTTGCATGTGTGGGTGCACGCATGGGGAGCTCAGGGGAGGATGTCAGTGTCTTGTTCTATCCCTGTCTACCTTACCCCCTGAGACAGGGTCTCTCACTGAATCTAGAGCTGGAGTGGCAGCCAGAAAACCTAACCAATCTTCTAATCACCTTTTCCCCCAGCTCCAAGGCTAAAGGCAGGTGCCTGGCCACACCCAGGATTTTTACCGAGGATTTGAACTGGAATCCACTGAGTCATTTCTCTGGACCCTCAGTTAGGTTTTTAAACCGGGCAATAAGCCACTCAAAAGAAGCAGCAAAGCTTCTTGGTGCCGCCACTCAAGCTGAGACTGGCTAATACCTCCCGAACCATGACCACTGTCCAGAAGTGGCAGCGTGGTTGGGAAATGATACACACTATCTGAACGGCGCATGTTGACAAACATGAAGTGCAAACAGAAGTGGTGAATCCTGGGGATGGCAGGGGGACATAAGGATTGGGGATGGGGGAAGGACGGGGAGAGACAGTAACCAAAACAAAGTAGGTGTGCAAATGCCATAGGGCAATTGGTTTCTTTGTAGGTTGACTTTATAAAAATGAGTCCTGGGCATAGAGAAGATAATCCTGTTTGTTGTGCAGCTTACTAGGGGTGAAGAGCCCAGTAGATCGCTAATCCAACCTGCTCATTACCAGCCTTAGCGGAAGGGAGCCAAAGACTAGAGCCGGCATGGGGACTCTCACACCCAGAGGAAGGAGACACACAGCCAGCGTTCAGTTATGGCTGGTACGTGTCTTAGCAAGGTCACGTAGGCTCTTTCAGCCCGTTTCCTTTCCTGCAGGCGGCAGAGTAAACTGTGTGGAGGATCACTGGGAGACACAAGGCCAGCACCGTAATGACGGCTATGCCTGCTGCCACTCTGAAGAAACTGTTCATTTGTACACCTGACATGTGGGTGTCCCATCTCAGCCTTCTCGGTTGTAGCAGACTAAAGGGCAATAGCTTGTGGATTCCTGCGGCAGTCACCAAACCGCACTTCCCGCTTGGTCAGAGTGGCGCAATCCCGATAAGAAACTTTCCCGCATGGCATATTTGCTTCAAGTTTCAACCTCAAACAAGCCCACATGATTTTTCCCCCTGCAGCACTGGCTGCCATTTTAGCGTTTACTGACTACCAGCAGATCGCCACGGCAGGATGGAGGCTCTACCCCCAGGACTGGACAACTCCAGAGCCTGCTCTGACTTACTTGAACTGGCCATGACGTCATTCTTGGTCTCCACAGCCCTGCTCTGCAGCAGCGTTCCCACAGCACTTGTAACAGTGGGCTGTTTTCTGGGACTTGCCGGGGCCTTACCCTACAGGTAGAAAGAGATGTAACACCGTAACCTCGGGTACCAAGCATGTAGTAAACTTGTAGCCAACAGAAGGTTAGCGTTATCACCGGGACTCTGGCACCCAGAGGAAGGAGACACACAGCCAGCATTTCACTGAGCCTGGGCTGCGGTCACTTGCTGGTGCTAAAAGCCACAGTTTGGTTTGGGAACATTCATTCAAAAAGAAGCCCTCAGGGTTGGCGGTGGTTTGTTCATCCTATGAAATCTGTTGTGTGAGGACGGAAGAAATCATTTGATGTCCGTCACGATACAGTTACGGAATGTTTTGTTTTTCTTTACACTTGAAGATGGCTTTGTTTTCTAACCAGAACTGAGAAGGAAAACAGAGATTGACAGGCAGCACATGTTTTCAGCATCGAATTCCAATACCCCCAGGCCTTCGCTAGTCTACAGAGCAGCTGCACACCGCACAGATGGAAGCCAAACAAGGACCGAAGCATCCTGGGGAGCCCTCCTTCACTTGCACTGGATCTCCCTCTAGGCCCAAGGAAAAGATGGCAAGAAGATAATTTGTTCTTTAAGTAAACTCCTCACCAGCTCAGGAATTATTGTCATAGTATACCAGGCCCATCATCCATCCTCAGGCAGCTAAAATATTGTTGTTGCTGCTCTTGTTAGTATTTTGTGTTTAGCGTGTGTGTGTGTTTGTATGTGTGTGTGTGTGTGTGTGTGTGTGTGTACATGTTCAAGTTGGTGCTAGTGTCTACCCAAGCATGTGGAGGTCAGAGGAGGACATTTTTTCTATTGTTATCCACCTTAGTTTCGTGAGACAGGGTCTTTCAGTGAAGTGGAATCTCGCTGTTTTGTTTATCTGACTGGCCAGTAAGTGCCTGGGATCTGCCTGGCTCTGCCCCCAGATACTGGCGTTATAAGCATGTGTGGCCATGACAGGCTTTTGTCTTGGGGATTTGAACTCGGGCCCTCTTGCTTTCACAGCAAATGCTCCCCATCGAGCCCTCTCTATAGTACCCCCTCCCCCAAAGGTTGATTTTTAGAGGCCAATGTTGGTCTCCTCTGGTTAAGGGTATGGCTGATTTCTATAGCTGATTATGTTTGAAATGGAAACACAGTTTGGCTGTGCCATTCATAACCCTGCATGACTAAAACAAGCTCTCCCTTCTTGTCCCATTTCTGAACAAGCTCACTATTAGGCAAGGTCCCAGAGTGGTGGCATTGGCACTCAAGGAGCAAACACTACCATTCAGACAGCCTCGACAGTGAGCAAAGGAATTCAGGGAGCCAGCAATTTCCCCTCTGTGCTCCCAGCCGCTACTAAGCTCTGGAAAACAAGACGAGGAATAGTGCCAAGTCACTGGCTATGCTCAGGAGAGCCAGCTGGCCTTCTTCACAAATAAAAAACACGTCTGCTCGCTCGTTCCCTCAGCCCTCCTTGGCACCACCAACAGTGGCAAGCTCCACGGATTGGATAGAACCGTTGGTAGTAATGCCAGTTGTGGGTACTCCTGGACAGGGTGGAAGAAGAGCTGGACTTACAGACTTCTCCACACTTAGGTTGAATTCCAGCCTGAAGCTGCCATGGCCCTTCAAAATTGTGATTCCAAACCCCAGGGACAGGAAAGGGTTTTGGGAAAGGGGAAGCAGGATGAGGTAGGGGGAGAGAAGACAGGCGAAGGACTCTGACCCAGTGCCGTCCTCCCAAGAACTCAACAGTTATGTATGATTAATGCTGTTTACAGACAAAACTAAATCTCCAAGTCTTATTACCTACAAATAACCGCACAACGGGAAGTCCAAACCTCGCTGCTGATCGCAGAGTCCCTGCTCTTGACATTGTGTTCTTTCCCCCACTGTCTTAGCTGTGCAGACTAAGCCTCTGAACCTGGATCCACCACTTGCCCAACACGCGTGTGCCATGTCTCTTCTCTCCTGTGTTCCTTCAGGTTTCGAGCACCTCTAACCCAAAGATGTGTCATCAGAAATGCTCCCAAATCAGAAACATCTTGACCACCAGCATGACGTTGCAAAAGAGAATTTTCACGAATGACCTCATGCGACAGGTTGCAGTTGAAACACGGGCACGTGAGAGACTTTGTAGAAATCACCTTCAGGCTATATGCCTCAACTGTACATGCACAGACTAATTTTGCAAAAAGAGATACAAAAATCTGAAACATTTCTGAGCCAATCTGAAACAGCACCTTAGATAATGGATTTTCGACCTGTCTAGATGCCCAGATGCTAATGCCCAGTTTTGTTTCAGCGCCAATCATTTTCTCAGCTTCACTAATTATTCCTATTAATTCCCTCACTGTGGGAGCCCCGATTACTCCCCCACTGTGTCTCCTCCCTGGTTTCCCTCCGCTTATCTTGGAAGTCCATTGCATCTCACTCAGTTTTTCGCCTCCTGAGTCATGTCTGCATTGCCTGTGATGGCACATGAAACCATGAATAGATGATGGAACAGAAAACAATACTGCCAGGCATGGTGGCACACAGCTTTAATTCCAGTGCCTGGGAAGCAGAGGCGGAAGAATCTCCGAGATCAAGGAGAGCCTGGTTTACAGAGTGAGTCTCGGGACAGCTTGGGCAACACAGATAAACCCTGTTTCAATTACAAAAAAATAAAAAAGCCAGAAGCTAGAGCCGTGGGAAAAGGGTGGAAAGGAAGGTGGGGAAGACGACTCCCTGGCTTCCCAGAAATGTTCTTGTTCCCCCTCCCAGGCTCTCAGGCCTGGCTGCTCCCAGATTTCTGAGCTTCTATCTGATCAACTCCTGTCAGCCTCCACTCTGAGCTGGCTTGAACCATAACCCTTGTAAATCTGTTACCTTTGTTGTTGCGGCTTGTCAGTCCCCATCAGAGACTTGTGTTTGGGTTACTGCCTCAGGCCGTAAACTAGACATGTGTATCTCACCCATCCCCTTCTCCTCTAGAGATCAGAACCCATACCGCCAGGCATCTTCTTGGCAACATTTCTCCCACCCAGACCAGTTGTACTGAGTCACAGTTCTTTGCTGGGTGGGTCAGACTGATAAACACCATGGAAGAAGCAGGGTGTTAGTATAATTCTGGAGAGACATTCTTTATATACTGAAGTCTTCATCCTGAAAGGCTTCAAACAGTTCAGAAATATTTTTTTTTTCCTGCAGCACCCAAAGGTTCTTCCAGCCAGAGGTAGACAACTCCCATGGAGACAGACAGCGATAGTGACCCTTGGGCTTCTGAGGACGGATAGTTGAATTCCCTGGTAGATCCTATATAGTTGTCCCAGGCATGAAAAGCCCACAGCTGGAGGAAAGATATTTACCTGCGCTCTGGATGCCAGCCTAGCTGCTGTTTGTGCTGGATCGAATACGCGTCGGGAGGACTGATCTTTGCAGAAATTAATGTGTCGCTGGGCAGCAGTCTCATTAAACCTCCTCTTACAATATGGGCATTGAATATAATCTGGATAAGAACACACCGACAAGCCACGATTAACATTTCAGAAACCACTGTGGAATGGAACTGTGGGAAATGAATTAAATGGAGTGTGAGCTCTGAAGAACAAGGTCTCAGACTCGGGTCGGAGACAGCCTAGTCCAAAAAGAGAAACTTAAATAAAGACATGGCAGGGAAAAAAAGTGCTCCCGAGGTATTCATTTCATTTAAGAATATCCCTTTAAGACAGAACTAGGCCCTCTGAATGTGGGTGACAGTTATGTGGTTTGATCTGTTGAGGGGGGGGCACCCCAGCAGTGGGATCAGGATTTATCCCGGGTACACGAACTGGTTTTTTTGGAGTTCATTCCCTATGGTGGGATACCTTGCTCAGCCTTGATACAGGAGAGAGGGGCTTGGTCCTGCCTCAGCTTGGTACGCCAGACTTTGCTGATTCCTCAAGGGAGGCCTTACCTCCTCTGAGGAGTGGATGGAGGGGTGGGATTGAGGGGAGAGGCAGGAGATGAAAGAAGGGGAAGGAGAAGGAACTGGGGTTGGTATGTAAAATGGAAAAATAATTTAAAAAGAATGACCCTTTAAAATGTTTGAATAGAATCTTTTTCAGATACTAGATTAATTATATTTAGGAACTCGACAATTACAGCTTTCTGTAGACTCCCTAATCCCAGCATGCAAGTTTCTCTGGTAAGGAAATATATAGATGACCCGGAAGCCTAGGTAGGTATGGTACTTTTTGAAACAAAGATTGTTGAGACCTATAGAGTTACACAGAGATACTATTTAGTTTCTAAATGTGGGTTTAGGGGATGAAGTTGAGCTCCAACATCACTGTGTTGTTAGCATCAAGCACGTCTTTTGCAACGGCTAGATTTTTTCCCCTCACTTATGGGAGGCCACAAACAACATATACAAGAAAGGAAATTAGAAAAAGAGAAAAAGAGAAAAGTTGGTAGGGGTCAAACATTGAAGACCAAACAAGGAAGGGTGCTGGGAAAGTAGCTTTAGCAGTGACTTCAGCTTCCCAGGCAAACCCCAGGCAGCTTCTGGTGACCCTAGATTGTCTGTGGTTCTGTATAACACCTTGTCAAATGTTCTTTCATGTGCCCTTATCAGATACAACTGGCTGGTGAAAGACATGGGAACCGAGAAAGATCTGAGGTCGTCTTATAACATGGAGATTCTCACAAGCAGAGCTGAATCTGCGCCTAGCCTCTCTAAGCACTCCGGGATTAGCGTTAGCTTTGTTCTTGACTTAGGCATCTTTAAGGGATAGGAGTGACATAAAGATTTTCCTCCCAGGAAGGGTCTGAGCTGCATCAGCCTTACACTCAGGATGGACGTTTACATTATCGAATAGTCAGCATTCCTCCGTGGACAGCCATGTCTTTAAAGAGAAGCTGGGTTTTTTTTTTTTTTAAGCCCTATCTCTAAGCAGCTTCAAGAGCTTTTTCTACTTGAACAAACTGCTTTCTAAAATGAATACCCCTTCAATGTAAAAAGTATCAGTGTTCAGGGATGATCTGGTCGCCATTCCTCTGACTTTCCATTCAAGAAAGCAATACTAACCATTCATTCAATGCCTACTATCGTGCAAAAGATGGAGATGCAATATCTCTGCAATTGAGGACTGTGTATCTGAGTGCAGAAACAAAAAAGAAAAAAGAAAAAGAAAAGAAAACTTCACACAGATAAATGGCTTTTTGAAAAAAACAACTGGAAAGGCTTAAGAAGGATGAGCTTAGCTCTGGAGCCTGTCTGACTGGTTTTGAGCTCAAGTCTTCACGTGCTATGTGTATGAACTTGGAGAAGTTGCCCAACTTACATAGGTTCCCCATCTCCTCAGCACAGCCCACACCACCTGTTTCCTCAGGGTCTTGTGAAAGCTAATAGATAATCCACACAAGGGTTTGTCCCAGTGGAAGGGTAGCACCTCCAAGAATGTTATAAATGCTGGCTCCTGCTGTATGGAAACTAGTCCAGCAAGCCCATGCCTCCAGCTGCTAACCAAAAGGACAAATGCTTAAAAACTACAGTGTGCCCAGATAGTTCAGGACTCATTCACGGCCCCGTAGAAAAACCATCTAGAAACGGGCATCCCACGTGGTGGTTGTTTCTTGTTTCTTCCAGGTAGGATGCCAAGCCTTAATGTAGACATGCTGCGCCTATAAATCCTACTCGTGTTGGTCAAAGATGTTGACTAAGCATTGTTGAGTTCCACCCGCCCATCTGGTCATTGCCACCCTACTGGGAGCTTCTTGCTGCATACTGCCAGGGAAGCAACAACCTTTGAATGTATTTCCTTGCCAGGCAAAGTCCCTGAGATAATGAGGTGAACACACTTTCCAATTGGTAAGGGAACACTAGGTCCCCTGAGACCCCTGGAAGGAACCAGAAGCCTGGTCATGGGAGAATTGTACAGGTAAGAAAAGGTCCCATGGCTGAGTATTTGGACTTGCTGTTTGCATGTACACTGAATTTGAAATATTCTGAAAAAGGAAAGGCATTTTTGTGTGTGGCAATCATCTGAACATGGTCTGTCATAGCTACGTGTTCTAGCCTAGTCGCAAACTGAGTAATCTTCGTCCTTTATTAACTATGAGCTCACAAAAAAAACCATTCCATCCTATTCCTTTCTATTGAAAATAACTTCAAAATAATTTCAAAGCTTACCGTGCTAATCCTTCTAGCATGAGTGGTGAGTTTTAAAGTTGGACTACAGGATTCTTATGGGAAAGATAGTGACTGGGACTCATATAAAATTAAAGTGGAAGAATAAAGAATATTTTAAATGTAAAATTACACTGAGATCCTTGTGCAGCCTGTGAAACAGTAACCACTGATTCATGAGCCACAGAATGATCCCAATCCTAAATAGTATATAGCATCCCTCATAAAATGTTGCAGTGATCTGGAGATTCAAATCATTAGCAGACTTGGTTAATTCAATAAGAACTAGAACAAACATATACAGGTCATGAAAACTGAGTCATAAAAATGGGGATTCATGCTGACAAGTGGAAAGAAATTGCTTGCAAACTCAGGCAAATTAGCTCATATTATATATAAAAACTCTCCTTGTATGTGCATATAAATTTTCTATTACATAAGTCTAGGAATTCTGGTTAATATAAAGTCCCCACACAGGCAATATAATCAAATTGCAATGAAAATACACTATTGTGAAGTATTGTTAGGTGCATATAGTAAGAAATTTAATTATAAAATTTGTATTTTAGCATAAAACTCTGAGAGGAAGAAAATTAATCTAGCATGTGATGAGACCTGTGAAGGGAATTCATATTTGGAGCAATAATAATCCTGTCATTTTAGAGCCTGCTGGGTAAGGAAAGAAACTCATGGAGCACCGCAGACACGGGTCCACGTCATTAAATAACTAAGGTAGCCATCAATACACAGCTTCTCGTGTTCAAATGAAGCTGCTTCTCAGAAGAGATTTGCGTTGTTCTGTGTGGATGGCTTTGAATGTAAAACACTTACCTTGTAGGTACAATGGACTGAATTTGATTCCCCCATCCACCCACATAAAAGTACTGAAAAAAAAAAAGTAATCCCAACACTGAAGGTGTGGAGACAGGAGGATTCCTGGGGCTCACTGCCCAGAAGGTCTTCTCTAATAAGTGAGCTTCTGGCCAACGAAAGGCTGTCTTAAAGGAGGTAGATGGTGTTCCAGAGCACAACTGAGTTTACTTTCTGGCTTCCACACCCACGTGCGTGTCCATGGGCACACATGCATCGGCACACCCACGTAAAAGAAATGTTTCATTCTCTAGTTCTCGCTACATGGTAGACATATTTTGTTTGCAATAAACATATTAAGATGATGCATTATTTTTCAGCTACATTTTCATTAGTACAGAGCAAAAAATAAAGCAATTAGTAAGATTATGTTCTGGTATGGTAGTTTAAATGATTTGAGTTTTGGGAGGTATTTATTGTATGGTTACACTATGGCTTGTTTTTAGACTTTTTCAAGGGAACTTTCTGGAAGAGTAACTTACATAGTAAAATGAACATATTTTGAGTTAGCGGTTTTATAAGCCTTGACAAAGGCATGCATTTGAGTAAGCATTCTAATTAAAATACAGAACATTTACCCCCTCCCATATTTCTCATGCCCCATTTCAGACACCCTTCTACTGAGGGAGCCTCAGTCAAGTCCCTGATGGATTTCCCTGTCGCTAGAGACAAGTTTTACTGTAGTTTGGGTAATAGATGATCCATCTTGCTGTGTTTATAGTAGTCCTCTTGAGGAGATTTTATTTGTACGTTTTTCACAGCTTGGTTTCTTTCCTTCATGCTGGTTGACGGGCATTTTCAGTTGTTCCCGTTTATATTCTATCAATAAATGTGACCGTAAGACTCTTTTATGTGTAGATTTTAACTCTTTGCATAAACGTCTGAAAGTAGGATTGCTGTGCAGGTTAAACATACGACAGGAAACAGGGAAAGGTGACTGCGTTATTTTATCCTTTCATTCACTTGTGACTTCTAGGGGCTACACGCATTCTAGCCAATTGTCAGGGTTCAATTGAGTTAATCCATGTGAGTGTTGTGCTAGTTAGACACAAATGACCTGAGAAAAGGAACCCTCAACTGAGAAAATGCCATTATCAGGTTGGCCTGTAGGCGAGTATATGGGTCATTTTGTTTTAAGTCATGATTGATGTGGGAGGGCAGATGGGGGGGGAGGGTGGATGGGGGAGGGCCCTGCCCACTGTGGGCACCTCTATATAGGTGGTCCTGGGTTGTATAAAAAGAAAGCAAGTTGAGTGATCCTTGAGGATCAAGCCAATAACCAGCATTCCTTTGTGGCATCATATTCAGTTCCTGCCTCCAGATTTTTGTCTTGAGTTCCTTTCCTTATTTCTTTCAGCAGTGACTCACTGTGATTGGAACGTAGGAGCCAAATAAACCCTATCATCCCTAAGCTGGCCCTAGTCAGTATTTTTTCTCACGGCAATAGAATGCAAACTAGAACACAAACT